GGAATTGGCAGGCTTGAACATATATTTTATTGAATAAATAACTTGACCTTTATAAAACAAATCACCATTGCCTCTTTTGCCTGACCTCATACACCTCAGAATTGTATTAATTTGTATGCCTTTAGGAACTTTAGCATACTACAGTGACCCTGTCCATCTAAAGTACCTCCCTGCTACTAGTTCTCCATCTTTATATTTCTCCTGAGGTAGAAATAATATATAATACTATCTAGAAAAAAAAGAAAAAATATTAAACTATATACTGTATTATAAAATCTTAATCTTCATACAGTCTAACTGAATTTGTATGTGATTATAAATTATTGGATATAATATATGCAGAATATCTAGTAAAAATTACACATAAGATAAATGTGATTTTTATCTTCTGTGAGTATTGAATTAAGAACATATATTTGAAAATCTAGAAGTACTATCCACTGTTATTGACTTACAAAATGTAATCTTAATTTTATCAATTTCCAAATAAAAAAGAATCCAAGTATTAGTATAGCTGGATTATATAGATGTTAGTGTAGATTAAATCTATAAAAAGAAGATTGTAAGATGTGAAGTAATAATTGATTATTTAATAAAATATTATACATTGTTGTATCTTTTATCTAAAAAAAAAATCCAAGTAATAATCTATATCATGTCAATTATCTATTTTATAGCTATTTATATTAATAACATATATTTTTATGAGCTTGCAAGTCTTCTTATCTACCTTATCAATTAATTTATCAGAAAACTACAATTCTTATTGGCTTAATGAATTCAAAAAACCTAAGAAATATATAGACAATATTTTTTCAGAACTTTTATATTCTTCAATTAAAATTTCATCCAATATTAAAATTAAACTCTTATAAAATCTTTTTATACAAAACAAATCATAACTAATTTTAGTTTTATATATTCTCAGATTCTATTACAAATTTTAAAAATTTACAGACAACTTTTTTAAAATTAAGCCTTTATTTCCAGCAAGCTTTAATATCTTACTTTCAAATATAAGGAAATATTTTCAATCAAAAAATATAGTGAGCTAAACAAACTTTCTAATTTAAAAAACTATCTTTATAAAAACTATTATTTCTTTTCTAAACTTCCAGAAGCTTTATTTAAACTTTCGCTATCAAAAAAACTATTACCTTTAACATACCACCTTCTCAAATCAATATATATAAATTTCCTTTTTTTCAATTCCAGATATAACATTTTAACAACTCAGGAATTAACAATACTTCTTCGCAAACTTATTATTTCAAACTCTTATTAAACAATTTCTTCCAAGTAAAATATAAGACGTGAATGGGAGAGATGCATATTGGGCTGTAGCGAGAATTGTAGACCTGAGGGTCGTTGCTTTGCAATAGTTTAGAGTTTATTCTTTGCCTCAAGCTTAATGATTCGTTGTTTTAACAAATCTATTTCGGATTGCATGTTCGATGATATTTTTTATAATATAAATTCGTTAAAAACTAAAATCGTGGAAAATCTGAATTATTCCGCGTGACAATTTGTCACACCGATCCCTTAGCACGTGAATTTATTTTCATTATATAAGGTCTTACATTAATAATTTCTTATTGTTAAGGTAGTTAGGAAGGCATTTTCGTCAAAGAGACTTTATTTACCAAATATGCAGTTAAACGAGAACAGGTTGGAGACATCGCACTAGTTTGTTTTGAGATTTGTTCATCGTTGGCTCGTATGATTTGTGCAGTCTTCCTTTTCCGCTTGCCTCAAATGTATCCGTGAATGATTACAACTCTTTCATAGAAAGCAAAGAAATGAGTAGATATAAATTTTAATATAACAACAGCACTGTGTATATAGTCGATATGCATTCAAATGAACATGAGCTGTTGTAGAAGTTCTGCATCGGTGCTTCAATGTTCACAACATTACTTATGCTATACTGTATATAGTGCTCCAATACAAATTGGAGGTCAGCCACATAAGGAAATTTCTTACAGTTTACTTAATCTTTCATATGCTATTGTTTTTTAATTATTTTTCTCATGTTCTTTCCACAGTCCACGAATAACCAGCCGGAGACGGGACTCGCATTGCACCGAATCTCGCTGTTTTTCCACATTCAACCTATGTTCCATATTCATCCGTTCCTTACCCTGGTCTACCTCCCAGTGATATAAGGGTATTTTTAATTTGTCATGGCTGATAGGAAATTTTTGAGATATTGATATTAGCTGATATGGGGATACCCATTTACGATAATAATTTGTGAAGTAGCCATGGCTCAAACTTCCCCAACTTGAAGCTTAAATGCAGACTTTGAATGCGACAGTCATATGTACGATCTGTACTTGGCATTAAACTTTACAATGTAATGAACACACGCAACAACCCACAAGGAGAGAGATCGGGCAATTAAGCTATATATCATTGTTTCGTTATTATATAATTTTCTAATGTATTTAATATATTAAATAATAGGCCACACTTTGGCGGCAAGGAGTTCCAAAGCAGAAGGTAAGGTTAACTATTAAGAGGAAGAAATTTCTACATCTATTTCTTATCTATTTTTTTATGTAATAGTGGAAATTTGCACTGTGAACAAAGACGGATTTCCTACTGGCCCTACTGGCTGTCACGGCCCGAATGACCCAAACTATATAATTAAGATCCCCGTTAGCGATGTATTTTACGATCCGGCAATTCCCACAATCGGATGTACTCCATTACCTCCTCCTGCAACATTGATGCGAGCTGTTTTTATAATCGACTTATACGAAATTCAACGGATAGTTTTACTTCGGTCGGCAAGATAAAAATCAAAGATAATATCAACCTTTAACTACGAGAATGGGATCTTTAGTCGGCGTTTTACAGTACTAGGCAAATATCACAAGTGTAGATTTTAAAAATTTATGTTTGTCTGCAAAATCTGAAATATATAAGATTTGGAATTTTGTTGTCAAATAGTATCTCCCACTATACTTTATAATTATAATAAGGATTTTCTGATTTGTTTAAAGCTAATTTTATCAACTAAATAATTAAACGGCGACCAATTTCACAATCTTTTAAAGCATATATCTAGATTTATTAGTGTAAAATAGACAAAATATTACTAATTGATGAATACATTGAGTGCAAATCTTCGGAATGGATTTTTTTGGAAGAATGCGGTATAGAAAGATTTATGCAGAAAATAGATGCTTACCTTACGTCTCTCAAGATCATCTCCAATACTCAGAAAAAGGGGCGAACGAGCACAAGAGTTGTTTGATAATTATAAAAGGCAAGTATATCTTTTTAGAGGGAATAAAAACACATACTAAATTTGGTGGCGTAGCAGAAGGACCTTGAGTAATTGTGTTATTCAAGTCTGAAATTTGCAACAAAGCTAATATTGGGACACAGAAAATCTTTGAGATTGGCTGATATTCAAGACCTTGGGTCGACCTGGTATTGGCCCCACCGGGCACAGAAAATCCTTGAGGTTGGCTGACGTTCAAGACTTTGAGTCGACATAGTGGGATACAAAGATCAGATGGGAAATTCAGAAGCATGTTAAGAATATTATTGATGATTCCTTTCCTAGAACGACCAGCCGGGGCCAGATTATAAATCGGCGAGAGATTGGGAGAAAAATAATGATAAAACAGCCAAAATAAGTATTCACTTTAACAATTTAACAATTATGTCTGTCAACGGCAACACTGGGAAAGAGAGTTACATCACTGGCGGGACGATAAATGTCGGTGCTCTGCCTAGGAAATCGCCTCGAAAAAGAAAATCGTTGAACGAAAGCCAGGCAGAACTGGATGAGGAGGTAACCAACTAATATCAGTATATTCTAATTATTTTGGAAAATCCACCTGATTCACAAATAATAGCATTGATAATTACGAAATTAAAAACGATGACTTACATAATTTGATCTTGCTTATCAGAATATGAACCCGACAAAAATGTGGCTTCTCGAATCCTCTGGTCGTATTGTTGAGAAGGTTATATATGATTATGCGCGAACATTAAAACATGAATCTTGCTTACACTCCATAATTAATGATGCTGATATGAAAGCACGATCAATATTCCGAAAAGAAGATTGGGAAGAAATACTTTCTTCTAATTTTAAGACTGTGCCAAAAATCAAGAGATCTATAACCGATCTCATGAAAAAACATTTGGTAACTGATTTATCCTCGTTTCAACACATCATTTTCAAGTCCTTTCCACCTACTGGCACTCCGTACTCCAATGAGCAACATTTTGACCTAAATTATATTAACCTTGCATATCGTGAAATGCATACTCTTTGGGAAAAAGGCAAAAAAATCTCTTTTAACCAATTGTCAATACTGGAGAGATGGTACCAGCACAATGTATGGGGTCACATTATTGATTCGCGTTCCGCAATTTAGAGGATGATTGGAAGGAAATCGGAAGGAAAGCAGATGGCAAATTTAGGTTGAATGGTAATAGATTGGAAATTGGGGTTATCGAGGCTGGAAAGGAATAGGAAGGAAAAAGCGGAAAGGAATATAGTATATTAAAGACAGCCTTAAGCTGAGTAAGATGCTTAGAAATATGTTTGTACAACTTGCAAAAAAGTGCGATGATGATGAACAAACTATCGGAAAATTACAGATGATTGGGATGTTACATAGTGGAAATCGATTTCAACTTCTTACGTTAGATGTTCCAAAGGATATATTTGTCGAATTAAGCGTTTTGACTTTCAGGAAGTTGCTAGCCAAATAAATAATCCACCATTAGCATTTGTGTTAAAAGATATATTAAGAGCAAAAGCAATTATTCAACAAACATTGGCATTATTACAAGAAAAGTGATCTAATCTTGATGATCTTGATAATTTTGATGATGATGGAAAGGAATTACAATAATAGATCGGAACGATGTTCAACTCCAAAAAAATTTTTTGCTATAGATTTAATAAAGAGAGGTAATTAAAACAATTGTTTGCAACAATATCGAATCAAAATACTGTAGTATTGTCTTAAATTTCAGGCTCATATTTTCAACAATTAAATCTGTATGTTAGATGCTTAAAGTAACTATAAAATCAATCGCCGGAGAAATTTATGTATTAGAACATTTTTCTTGCGTTTTGATATATCTCTTATCTCTTCTGCAGGCTCAATGGAGTGTCAAGCTTTAGCCGAATCGCAACAGGGATATCCTCAGGCTTCTCTAGGTCAAATACAATGAACTCATCTTTACGAAGATCGCTATTAATGTGTTGCCCGTTCCCAAAAATTGACAAACTTGGTTTTGTATACATTCTGGAGCTAGGCATATATCTCAAAAACAATCATGGTGCTTTCTCAGATAAAAATGAATGCGTGCTTGGAAATTTTCAGGTGATATACTGTATATATGAATCTAATATTTCATATGCCAAGGATGATGTCTGAATGCGCAGTAATACATTCTATTTCTATTGGTTGGAAGTAAGAAGAACTCAATTGAAGGAATACTGTATGTCAAAACATTCAAGCATTTAGCTTTTTTATCTTCTCATATACTATTTGTCTTAAGTAGGACATTGACTCTAGGAATTTTATTTCTAACGGCTCATCGGATAGTGTCACCTTTTCTCTTTGTTTATTAATACCGTAAATACTCGAATTTTTCTTTCTACCTCAGTATAAATATTCAAGAAATTGTTACATAGTGCTTGTTAAATAAAAAATGTAAACTTCGTCAAATCAGAGGCTTTGCGCAATGTACAGTATGACTCAAGCCGGGCACATGATATTTTTGATTAATATTTATCACGGACCATCTCGTCAGTTGCTTTTTGGTGTCTTTGCTATTGCAAATGATTGGTTAACTATCCAAGTACTGTGTAATAAAGTTATATAATCTAAATAGTTTATATCATTTAATTACTAGTTTATTTTGTTATAAAAAAAGTTTATTTTTTATATTATAATAATACAAAAAGATTAATAAGAAATGAATAGGAATAGTGTGAGAAAAATTTTGGAAAAATAGTGGTTGTTATTATACAATGCACTTTTAATTAAAAACTTAATTAATGTATGCCTTTTAATTGCTTGTCCTAGACTTATTTATGCATTTAATAATAAGCTCGTATTTAATCACAAAACTACTAGTCAAAAGCTCTTATGTTTTTGTTATAGAAACTTAGAAAGAAACTTCATTAAAAAAAAGCTTCTTATATACATATTAAATGAAAGAAATCAATTTTCACTATAATAACTTTCTTGATTTTTCTATAATTTTCGATCACAAGAATAATAAGAATGAGTTTGATTTCAAAAATTTTAGGGATTTTAAAAATTCACAATCGTTGTATCATGTAATTGAAATCGATTCTAACCTTGCCATTAGCAATACTCACATTGCTAAAAGATAGTCGAATCGTCATGGTAAACTGCATTAATGTACGGCTGAGTCATTCTTTTCTGCATAATACTGTGGTGAGCTTACTACAGCATGATTCAGACAAGAGAGGCTTGTCGTATCCAAGTATCCTTGCATAAAATGCAAATAAGATGCATACTAAACATTAGGTACTACCGTGGTATCAATGATTTTTTTCCTTTTTCGCGTCTTAAAACTGAAAAATTCGTAACACACATTGTACAATGAATGATTATGTACAGTACTGTATATGGTATTAATATTCGTCAAAAATCAAAATGACTAGCCATCTGTTACGAACAGACAATTTTAGTGCCTATCAATATGCTACTTAATATAAGTTTTATGTTTATGCTTTTATTCTTTATTTCAGAAACATTTGTTTTTTCATCACCCATTAGATACGGTCAAACACAAAATCTAGTTGGTAAAAGAATCTATTATTTTGGTGGAATTGTTCTCGAGGACGGTTATGGTGAAACGTTCTTCTTGGATCTATCTAAATCATTTGATACCAGTAATCCCCCATGGGTGCCATTATCAGCAGGACCTCCAATTTCTTCTGTCTATTCTACCTCAGTTGTTAGTCCACTTGATAATTCTACTATCTATTTAATTGGTGGATTTTATGCGGATTCCTCTAATACGACGGTATATACATTTGACTCTAACAAGACAGTGTGGAGCTCACTTATAACCGACGGTGTTAGACCAGTAAGAAGGCAGTCGATGACCGCCGTAGCAGTTAATACGGGAAAAGTGTATATTTTCGGTGGATATGAAATATACAATGATACTTATTTTCCTTATTTTAATGATATGTTTATTCTGGATATCCATACAAATGTTTGGACCAATATTAAACCGACTTCAGGCAGTCCGTACCCTCGAAGAGAATACACTGCCACGCTCTTAGAAAATGGTGTAATTGTTTATATCGGAGGAGATGAAACTTCAGATCAACAAACCGCAACATTGGCTTCTATGAAAAATGTAGAATTTGTTAAACGTTTTGTTGCTAAATGTTAAATGCATACTAACATTTTATCTATCTTAGCTTACACTTTATGACACTAAGCTTTCATCATGGTCTTCAATTGTAAGTTTTAAGCTTTGTAAAAATCAATCTGCGATATATACTACACATCAAGTCTCACTACATCCTACTATAGGTTGTAACGGGTACTGATTTTCCGCAATCACGAAAATCTCATTCTGCAGTACTTGGTATGTATTTTATTTGTACGGCTTTTTAAAAACTGACATTACGTAATGTATATATAATATACTGTATATTCTAAACTACTGTACTCCCAAAAGTCAAAGATAAAATATTTATTTACGGAGGGGAAGGTTTTACGACTGTAATTACACCTAACCTTGCAATATTAGACACAAGTGTTACACCATACAGTTGGAATATTCCATATGTTGCGAACGGTCTCTATGGTGCACCTCCTTTAGCTAAACATTCGGCGAATTTATATGGGGATTATATGATTCTTGCATTCGGTAAATAAATTTAATATAAATTTCTTGTCATTACATGTTGACCAATTTTCCTTATGCAAATTAGGCTACTCTGGAACTGCTACAAATGTCAATAATCAACTATATATGCTTAATGTTACGAATCTTACATGGGTCAATTTATTTGTAACTTCCGAAGAATTACATTCCACATCATCAAGTGTGTCTTCACCTACATCTTCAAATGGTTCTTCACCTACAACATCTCAGACCCCTGATTCATCGGATTCGGATAAATACAAAAAAATTTTAATTGGCGCATGTGTTTCATTGGGGTTTATAACACTTTTTGTTATTTCCTGCTTAACCCTTTATTACATAAAAAGAAAAAAACATATTTTGGAAATTCCAGGTTCAAATTAGAAATAGTTAACATATTTTAATATTATATATTAAATAATTTATTCACATATTGTAAGGAGTATAATAAAAAGAGTTATACTCGTGTACCTCCATAAGGTATCACCGCAATGTGAATATAGACTTTTAAACGGTGCAATGGAAGGATAATACAGGTATGGGAGATCGTATGCACCACGCAATGAACAACAATACTGTAATATGTTACATGATCTATCTACGCTGGATAGCGAGAGATCAAATCCTACCACGACTAATCAATTTTATGTAATGATTGAGAAATGTATAAAAAAGTATAAAATGTTAAATTAATAAAGTGATACACATTAGAAGTTAGAGGACCCTAATGCTCCAATTTACATATATACCTGTCTTTAATTATTTAATTATCAAATCTCTGTTGGCATTAATGCAGACTTGCTATTTGCCTATCATAATATAATACTTTCAAATATTTAACCTTTGAATAAAAAGTAATTAAGAAACTCTTTTATAGTAACAGCCTTTAAACAAACATTTTCTTCTTTTCAAGTGCTTTAATAATATCAACAAACCAACTGCTACCACCACAGAGCTCACAACATTCTCAACAAACCAAAAACAATTTCTTCATACAACTATTCACAATGACAGGAACTGTAAACTGCAAATCTTCTTTAACTTAAAAATAAATACAATTTACAAAACAGACTTTGCCAAAACTATCACAATTTTCAATCTTATTAACCACTTCAAATAATTTATCAATATATTAAATAAAAAAAAGCATAAATCACATCAATGTCATCAAATACAAATTATCAATTTTGAAGAAACTTCTAATAAAAAGATAAAATTCCTATAATCAAAGCTATAGTCGAAAGTTTAAGATCTGAAACTTTAACTTCAACTAAATTAGGAATATTGTTGATAAAATATAAATGTTTAACTTAACTAGTATTTTCAAAAGCAATTTCAAGAATTTTTTTGAAAATAATTTTCTGCCTATTGTATTTTGTCTTTCAAAAAAAATACTAATCAATTAATATACTGCAAAAAATACAAATCCTTTTCCATCACTCCAGCATTATTTCAATTTGTTAATTCTATAAAAATAAGTAAAACAATTAATAAATCGATAAAATTTTCTAATCTGAATCTTTTCTCTATAAACATTTACCAACTAAACACTTATTACTATTAATTATAATAAACTTATTTGACAACTTAATTATTAGCTTTGGCTTTTTAGATAAAACCCATAAATTAATTATAACTGATTAATTATAATAACATTATTAACATTGATTAACTCTTTAACTATTTCAATCTAATATTAATTATCTTTATTTAATTATTAAATATAAAATATAAAAAGAGCTATAACAAATTTGAAACTTCAAACAATATAAAAAAACAGAACTGCTAGCTAATCAACTACTACAGGCATTCAGAAACATTTGTACAGTTATTAAAATTAC